TCTCCAAATTTTGGTTAATATTATGTATTCCTTACCATCGTGTGCCATTCGAAGAATTGGGAATGGGAAAAAGAATGCCATTTTTTAATGCTACGGAACAAAATAACTGTTAGCAAACATTGAAACGGAACAAATTGCTGAGGAAGAAAATATTTCGCCCACCTTTTATTTTTATCGTCAGAAATAGATTATTATTCCAATGATGTACAGATAATTAAATAATCTCTACTTGATGCAAATGAAAAAAAGGAAAAAATTACCCCTTCCTTTGTATCTTTCCCCTTTCTATTTCCATGCTTTTTAACTAAACTATCTACAACACATAATTCCCTATGCCTAAATTTCTTCCAGACATGTAACATGTTTACTTAGATTACAAAATCTTTTCCATCTTCACTTACACTTCCACGGCAATTCTAGTTTTTATTGGTTTTAACTTCACACCCATGCTTTCCGGTGAGAAAAGCTCTGGCGAAATACTAGTTGGGCTCAAGGGGCTCCTCGGGCTGACGTTGAACTCAGATGGCCGATAAAAGCCATAGCCCATAAGGAAATATTCCAGTGGTATGGACATGGCATCCGGTTGTTCTTCTGTAACCATTGACCCACTCGCTTGGACCTGTATAGATAGATGAAAGTTCTAGATTAAGAAATGGTATCCCATGCATGTTTCGCAAAAGAAGAGGGCCAAAACAGTTTGAAAAACCTCGACTAAGGCACTGAATCTCTGATCCAATCTTGAAGTCATGTGGAGAGCCTCCGAGTGAAAAGGAGAGTTTTCTCCAACAAATATCAGAGATCGACATTTTAGTCTCTTTAGGCCTTCAGTAAGGTCCGGTCTCCTGCAGACACCAGATTATAAGATTTAACTCTATAACAGCCACATTAGACTATAAGTTTTACTGCGAGCATGCTTGGGTAAGCTTAAGACTTCTTATTTTCAAACATGTTTACATATGTAGTTTTTCCTAGCTTTTGAAGTAAAAAAAAAGTTGTTTATTTTGTAATTGTAAGTAACTCGTCTCAGTGCAAAATACCTTTTTCCAGCTTTAACCATAAAACAATTATTAATTAGAAAACTTGCTATTTTTCTTAAAAATTAACTTTTTAAGCTCAGCCAAAAACATTAGTATACGTGGACAGTACAATAAAGAAAGCCAGCCAGATTAGAAGCAGAAAATGCAAGGATTGATGCTTCCACCTAAAACGACTTGACAACAGCTGCACACTGATCATTTCCCATCCCCGTGCCCAAGTCTTTCTTTGGAGATGATAACAAGGAAAATATTAATGAAAGAACTTACCCATTGATAGCTTCAAGAAACCGCAGCACATTTGGGCTCTGCCTCTCGCCCAATAACTGCAATAAAAGTGTTGATTTGATGGAAGTTAGATGGATAATGGACTTCTCCTGTCCTGAATTCAAGAGATGGAAAGTAAGAGAAGAAGACACTAACTCTTCTGCATGATTGAACTATATCTGATTCTGGGACGTCTACATTACCACGAACTTCCTGTCATATCATTAGAACTTCAATCGACCCATGAATTATATAAGAGTCCCGCCAAAAACGAAAAATGGAGGTTAAGAAATACCTTGCTGAAGTACCGTATGAGCAACAATTCCTTCACGAAACCACACATGCCACAAATGTAAAGTAAATTTGACATCACCTGCAAATGCTTCACGATTAGAAGAAACTTACGACATCCACTTCTCCAATGAAAAGACAAAAAACTACTGCTAAAATGTATGTGCATGCACAAGAGCAATGAGAATAAACCTTATTACATAACCATTCTGTCCAGGATGGCGCTCTACATAGAGGGGAAACAAGAATCAAACCCATTACACGTTGCGTGTATTTTACCTGCAGCAGAATGTAGAATAACTGGCAGTAAAAACTGATAGATCAAAACAGGATGTAGTCATACAGCTGGAGGAACATGGGCAACCATGAGAACAACTTACTGCAAATAGGGTAAGAATATAAGCTCCAGCTGTTACACCCATGCACATCACTGCACCGAGTCTGGAAAGGAATCAAAGAATAACAGCGTCCAAGGGGAAGAAATTAGCTAGAGTTCCAGTAAAAAACTACCAATAAACTCACTGACTCGCAGAGAATAACAAAATATGGCCCCCAAAAAACAAGGGTTAACCAGAAAGAGATACGAAAATTAGCTAGCATTCACAGAGGCAGTTACTTCCACTATACCCGAAATAGTCAAGAATCTGAGCAATCTGATCAGCTAAATCATCAACAGATATTGTAGGTTCATCAATTCCAATTACAGCAGCTCCTAACTGCAATAAATTATGACAGAAGTACCAGATAAGAAACAACGAGAATAGAAGCATTAGGCAGCAATGAACCCATGTTCAATACTACTTCATGCTACACTAACAAATAATATCATCAAATAATCAAGACACAGACCTGATGCCCAGGAGGGCAGATATGGTATATACAGAAGTTGTGGAGAAGCAGAGAAAATGCTTCTGGACAAAAGAACAATCCTTGAAAACAGGACACATCTGTTCAGCGGCATGTGCAGATAAAAGAGAAGCTAGATGTCAATAGCACTCTTAAAAAGTGAAAATGACATTTGTATCTGCTAAATGGACGAAAGAACTTCAAGGATCTGACTGCACAACCCTTCAAGATTGACGTTATCATAATGGCAAGTCGAAGAATCGAGATTTTAATAGAATAAATCCACAATTTTAAACTCATTTTTCACTGAGAAGAAAGCAGTGGTAATAAGAAATCATTTCGAAAAAAGTTTAAAAGTGAAAGGAAGCAAATATATAGATAGCAGGATAACCGGAGTAATGCAACCATATCTTTTGTACAATTTTGATTGCATGAAATTAGATATAATGATAATAATGCACCATAATTAGGCAAGCATATGTAAATCGCACAGGCACAAAATGATCATTGCACTTGGTGAATAATCAGTTTAGTTTACTTACAATTTAAAGCTAAATCGGGATAAGTAATAAGAGCTGGCTTGTCCCGGTCCCCAAACACCACAACAGAGACAGAACCATGACCAGTTTTCACAAGATGCTCCTGTAATCCATTTTTGAAATGCATATTTGGTCAACATCTCAAAAAATGCAACAAGATAAAGACTGAAAGAAACCAAAGCTTCTAACCGCTAATTAGATTCAAGAAATTTTCTGATGAGTTTTGCCTTAAATGTGGTATAATTTTGCGATGAGTAGAAACACTATTTTGCTTCCAACAGAATTTCCCATATGCAGTAGCCTTGTGGTGAAGAATTCGAGCTAGCTCATTACTACATCTTCCTAGGGATTAAAAATCAATTTAATTTGACTCAATTACATATAATAATAGTCTAATTGGTTAACTTCTTTCAATAATAAATATAAACTTTTTGCAAGAGTTTCATGAACAGTTCAGAACTGGATGAAGAAAGTATAAAACTCAAATAAAATCTTTTGTTCCCTTTAATGCACCTAGCCATTTTGCGTGTAAGTCTAAATTTCCCTACCTTGGATATATATGGAATGATCAAAATTCCCAAAACTGATTTTGTCCAGTTTATTATCAAATCCTAACTATACAAAATTATCCAACAAGCGATGTGAACTCGAATATTGATTCGCTTCTAGTAAAAGAATAACAGGCCTTCTTCATTCCAGTGCAAAATTGAATCCATCTTAGTTCAAAATTGCAAGTTACATGCATTCACTTATATAATACCAGGTTTTAATTGTAAATCAACTAAGTAGGAAACTAAAGTGTGTTTATACAAGATTACATACACATATAATGAAGATTATAACAAAATTGGCTAAAAGATAAGGTTTTTTACAAAATCAAAAATCGAGCGTTTGATGCTTAAGCAAAGTGATCAAAGATCAATCTACAGGTAGAAGCAATCAAAACAAAATAAACTCCTTAAATTAAAAATGAAAAAAAACCTCCAGAAGTTCAAAAGTCACACAAGTTTCCCAACAAAAAATATCATACACCCAAATGTAGCCAACTCAACAAACCCTCTCGCAACAAACATAAACGCAAACAATATCATACCAATACATACATAAAATACACACATACATCTATAGATATGAATAATGTGAGTAATATTTCACCTTTCCGACTAGATAACTGGACTCTATATCGACATAAACAGAATCGCTGGAGTCCCCCATTGCCCGCTGCTCTCTCTCTCTCTAAATCTCTCTTTCTCCCTCTTGATTTGCTCAAAAATTTTGCAAATATATTTCAAATTAATTATCCTTTTTCCATTTTTTCCGCCGGGAACATATATATCTTTTTCTCTTGTGAGTGTGCGTACATAAGAAGGAAAGTGTTTAGTATGTAATACCATGTGTACCGAGTTAACTCACGAAGTTAAATGAGTCACCGACGCTTTGAGCTTGACCCAGTGGACCCTACGGACCTCAATCTGAGGCCGACAAATTTCTTGATGAAATGACACAAATATCCTTGTCACTCCTCTTTCATTACATTTTCGCCCTTTTTTCCTTTTGTGGATTGACTTGGGTATGGAGAGGGTTTTAGATTGATTTGAGTATGTTTTGCCGGCGACGATTAAAATTAAAACTTTAATATATTTTAATAAAATTTGATGAAATATGTAATTAAAAAATTATGGGTTCCATAAAATGTGTAATTAAAATTAATTGTTAACTTTAATTTAGATTAAAAATTTAATCTAAATTTTAATCGTTATCAAACATGGACTGTAATATACTTGTCACTCTTATTTTCTTCGGCTTTGATAAGTTCATACTCTAAATAGTCGAAATAGATAACTAAATCGATTTATAAGTTATTGTCGATTTTTATATCAGATCAATCTGATTTTTTATGATCGTCTATATTACATTCCAATGATAATGGCACTTTCAAGAAATATTAAGTCTTCATTTTCATTTATTCATCGTTACATATATAGAATTGAATAAATCCAAAGTAGTTGAACTCGTTTTGTAGATAGACATTATAGAGTGAGTAAAATTTGTTTTGAAATGACTATTATACCAAAGCGTCAAAGATATGTCCACCGATGAACCTTGCTTGATGTACAAAAATTATGATTCACAGGTCATTTACACACACTCACAATAGGGGTGGGTGGGATTTTTTGGCATTTTTTATTTTAGTGAGACCCACACATTGTGATTATTCGTAAGAATTCTATGAACAATTATTCCGTACATTTGACTTTACTCTCCACCGATATGATAAATTACGACATTATACAAACAAAATAATCTAATTTGTAGTAAGTAGTTTATAATATGTACCATTGTTCTAGAAACATTACAAACTTTGACTACAAGTGAGTGTACATCATAAGGTCTAACGTCTTCTCATTTACCTACCAACCTAATAATTAATTTCCTATTCAACTTTTAACGTCTTAAAACTTGCAAATAAAACAAATTTCTCCAACAATTTGTTGCAATATAGTTATCCTTCTTGTTAATGACAAAAAATTAAATCACCAATCCCATGTTACAAGAGACACATAAAATGAATATCAATTTATTGAGATTCTTTTATTTTAATAAAATCTTTTTGATTTGCTTGTATTTTAACGGAATCGCTCGTATGACTAAACATTAAAAAGAAAAAAATACATTAATGATGATGATGATGATGAATAGTAGGGTCGAGTATTTTCCTAATTTATGTCCCTCTCTCTCTCTCTCTCAAAATCTATGAGATATTTTTCAGATTTTTTAGTTATCATTTTCATTATAGCGTATAATTTTTTTTTTCTCTTTTTAATACAATAGATTAAAAGGCTAAAAAGAAAAATTATTTTTCAAGATTTTTCTTTTGTTTTATTTCCAGTTACTTTAAATAGATGTCGTTGAAGATGATCATGATTGAAAAAACGAGCAAATACGAACACAAATCAATAGTATAAGTAATTTTACGTTGTTTTTAGAGCTTGTATGAGAGAGATTAAAATCAGATTAAAATTGAAAATATAACTGTTATTGTTGACTTTTATTAGACGAGTGGGACCCAATAACGACTATATTTTCAATTTTAATTTGATTAAAAGCTCTCTTAAACAAGGCCTTAACTTGACCAAGTTCATTTACGACATGCAATATTAATGAGCAAAGGAAAGTGTAGAAGGGAATCTGCATCTGTTTTTTGATAAAATAAGTGCTTTTTCTCCCTAAAAAAATTGAATTAATTATGTGGGTAGGGAGTGACCGCGGCGCCGGTTGGTGTAGTTTCATGATCCAAGGGCCCTTCACCTGTCCATTGCGTCACAACGAATGCCTCGTACAGTTCCATCCCTGCATTTAATACAAATCTCGTGCTCACTTTTTATTTAAGGATAATTAGGTCCAATATATTAAGAAAAGAATAATACACTTAAACCTAATTATGTGTTTAATCTTCGTATTAATTACGCTCTTAATATGGTCAAATTAAATTCATCAAAACCAGTCGGAACCTCCCCTCCAATATACATTTTTTCACTTCTTAAATTTTTCAACCATGCTACAAGTACAATTTTTTTGACATCAAGTTTGATAATATGCCACGTGTTGAAGGTTGAGTGGCCAGTTTTTAAACCCCATACACTTTCCCGTCCATTCGAATTTGAATTAACATGCCTTNCCCAGTAATGTATCAACCGTGCTAGAAGTACAATTTTTTTAACATCAAGTTTGACAATGTGCCACATGTTGAAGATTGAGAGGTCAGTTTTTAAACACAACACACTTTCTCGCCCATTCGAATTTGAATTAACATAGATTGTCAAATTCATTGTCAACCATGGATTGTACACAAAATATTATTCTAAATTTTTATTATGAAAAAAAATTCTATTTGATGCTATTACTTTACAGTTATCCATTTTAAGTAATTCAAAAATCTGTCAGAAGCTTGCAGCACGACCATGATTATGGACGAGGTTTAAATGTCGAAAATTATCTTGTGTGAATTATTGAATGCAAAATCATGATTATTAATTTTTTCTTTTTATTTATTTTCCTTATCGATATCAATGTAAAAATTTATGAAATTTAAATCATGCTTATTAAGTTCATTTCTTGTGGCCATTTTAGACTTCTTGTTATAAACTCGTCATTTATCAATTTTAAATTCGAAAGATGTATTTCAAAGTTTGTCGTTAATATTTCAAAAAGATAAAAAAAATTCTTACCCGACAAGTGAAGAAACATAATCCTTAAATATGCCAAAAGAGGTAACATAAAAAAGGAATTAAAAGAAAAAATAGCTAATTTATTGTCCTTAAAAAAGGTGACATACACACATACTTTTTTAGCTTATGTGAAAAGATAAGGATACATCAATTGTTTATTGATGAGATTACATATAAATGACAATAATGCACCGTTTCTTGCAAGCAGGAATAAAAGTAACGTGATTCATACGCGTAGACAAATACATTTTTAGTTAAGCTTAATTCATTAAAGAGTAATGCTTCATGTACTCCCAAAAATTTCACACAATAGACA